ACACACACACACACACACACACACACACACACACAGACAAAGCTCTGACTGAATATCTGTGTGCAGTTCAACTTCTCCTTCGTGGAGACGCATGCTGTGTCAGCAGTGAAGATCCGCCCCTGCTCACTGATTGGCTGTTCTGAGGATGAGAGTGAAGAGGAGGGTGACTTGAAAACCACACCCTTCATCCACGCAGAAGGAACAACCTTCCCCTGGAACATCGACGGAGAGCTGGTGGAAATTGCTAATGAAGTGCTCATCAGGTGGGACGCTCACGCCTTCGTTATTAAAAATATATCCAGATAATACAATCATTACAAACAGAGGAATTACTCTGAATTGATTAATTCAAGCATTGATTATTGATGATCAAGGCACTATTTTTCCTTTTAGTTTAGATCAATAAAATACAGCAAGAAGAGGTGAATATAGAGGATAATAATAATAATAATTATTATTATTATTATTATTATTATTATTTTGGACAATGGCTGCTCTTTCATTTATTTTCAGTCCAGTCCTTGTACCTCATCATTTTCAGAGGTATCTTGTTTTGTTTATTAAAACATTAACAGTGATTTATGAATCTTTCAAACATAAAAAGGGACCTAACACAAGGGCTGAACCCATGTTGTGTCTACACAACTTAGCACAAAATAATATTTTTGCACCAACATGATGATTGTCAAAGAGATATTAGCCACAAACTTGGTATATCTCTATGGAAGAGGATTAGGGAAACTGGAAAAAAAGAGGCATTCTCCCGAAATTCTGGGAGAAAAAGTCGGAATTCAGACCTTTTTCTCAGAATTCTGACTTTTTTTTCCTCAGAATTCTGACTTTTTTTTCCTCAGAATTCTGACTTTTTTCTCAGAATTAAGAATTCTGAGATTAAAGTCAGAATTCTGAAAAAGAAAAAAAAAGACGTGCCTACTTTTTTTTTCTTTTCCAGTGGCCCTAATCCTCTTCCGTAATATCTCAGTATGATGTTCAGTGAGTTCTTAAAAGATTTGAGGAAACTGGACAAACGGAAGACAAAAGAAGAAGTGACCGGCCTAAAAAACAGATAACATGATCTGAAAGTCATGTTGAAATTCATCGAAAGAAATTGAAAAATTTAGCAAAGACCTGAAAATGCATTTGATCCATCTGCTGCTCACTGAAGCCGCATTTGAAATGGTCTCAGTTTAAGTGTGGTTGTTAAGAAGCCATTCTTCATGAATGGAAACGTGGCTGAGTTGTGCCAAATTACACAAGAACTGGATTGAATATCAGTGACAATAGATGTTATAGAGGGATGAATTCATATTTGAATATTTGGATCAAATTTTTTTGTGTGTGTGTGGAGCAGGTCAGGAGAGAGGTACAACAGTGAGTGTCAACAGCCATCACTAAAGCAGGTGGAGGCTCTGTCATGTTTTGGTGCTGCTTTTCATCCAGTAGTGCAAAAATGGATGAAATAATGAAGAAAAGTACCAGCAGATTTTGATCCACGATGCAATTGGTTTCATTTTTCACAGTACCAAGCGACTGACTGGTCTCCTTGTCCTGGAGCTCACACTGTGTTTGTTTCTTTACATTCTGTGACATTTACATCAATACCAATCAAGCCATGCTCCTGCAACCATAGCAACATGTCTGCAGGTCCTTAATATCCACCTGACTGTGAGTCTGTGTTTCTGTATGTCTTCGTGGTGCATTCAGAGTCCACCCAAGACTCATCACTCTGTACGGCGAGGAGGTGGAAGAGGCCGAGTCGTCTGTCTCCTGCAGCTGCATCTGAGAACAACAAGGGGGCGCTGCTCTGTGTGACACTCACCACGGTAACCAAAATGACTCAACAGTGCTCTTTGTACAGACTCTGAACTCACAATTTGAAACTTTGGTCGTCCGGCCAGGATTTTAACAATATATTCATAGAGGAAAAATAAATAAAATAAAAAAAGCTCCTTTACTTTAAAGCTGTATTAATTTTCTATTCTTTTTATCAAAGTATAATGTGAATGTTTTGTAAGTTTTATTCATGTATCAACTGCAGAACTGACCAATGCACATAAAAATGGTTTAATGTTTACAATTTACTACAGTATCATTACCCATTTCTCTCAGATCATGTGACTTTAATTTCATATGTTGCTTTTTTCATCCAGTTTTTGTTTCTATGGCAGAGAACAAACTTGTTTAATTTGTGTTCAAAATCCAGTTTATTTCACTTCCTAAAGGGTTCATGTTTGAATAAAGGTATTAATAGGTGACTTTTCTATCTGTGCAGACGATGGTGAAGCAAAAACAGACCTGATGTATGCATGTAGATTCTCATTTTGACTCAAATCATACTGCGACTGGAATAAAGTATAAAAATCAAGCTGTTTAAATAGAAAATCCTTTATTTTAATAGAAAAGTGTTGCTAAAAGCAGTGAGACTCTCCAGTGCAGAACAACTTCACATAAGAACATCAAAGTCACTTATTAAAATATTAAAATACTCGGTGTGAATCTGTGAGGTGCATTTGTATTAAACACACACCGGAGTGGAGGGCAGCAGCTAAGTGAACAGTCTAAATGGAGACCGTTAACACAATGCTTTTTAAAAAAATGTATTACTTGAACCAACAAGTTATCAGTTTAAAAAGCCCAGGTGTCAATTTTAGGAAGTAGGACTGAGAAAACTGACCACATCAAACATGTTTACTTAGTGTTTGTGACGTGTCTGTTCAGAAAATGGAGCTTTACTTTGAGAGCTCGGGCCATAAACATTCTTTTGAAAATAGTGATTTCAAGTAGTTGTCGATCATTAGGCCTCCCACCTACCTCACTGGTAGGAGTGGTTAACCTTAAATGTGCTTTATTTAAAATGCATCACATTTATGGTTTTTTTCCTCTCTTGTTTTATTTGTATTAATTTTAATTTAAAGAACTCCCACAGGACAAACTTTTTCATGGGCATCACATTGTGATTGTTACCACATTAAAAGAGCCTTCGTGCCTCATTATGTTTGATTCTGTGTGTTTGACCCTCCTGGGCCCAAAAGGAGGAGTGGAGGAGAAATGCTCATTTCTAGCTGCCCTGCGTGGTGCACTTGTGCTCATCTGGCTGTACATTGTTCTCATTGTTTTTCCCTCCACATACCAGCATGGCTTCCTGTTTTCTTCTTCTCTGAATGGCTTCCAAAGCGTCAGAGAAACTGTAAACAAGTGTGAAATCAGGCTCACGGGGAGGTTAAGGAACCATAGCACCAGGAGGCAGCACAGTGGAGGATTCACTGTAGAAAGATCCTGCATTCTGCTCATTTTTCAATCCTCTGCCCTGAAATTTCTATTAATCCTACATCAAAACTGCCCTCAGTTTCCTCTATTGTGAAGCAGTTTGCAAAAGCAAGAGGGTAGGTAAAAACAGATAGCGCTAATAAGCTGATCATATCCTAAACGTTGGAGTATCCAACCAGTGGTCAACATTGCTGGCTCAGTGAACTAACTTTGTGCAAAACAGAAATGTGTGGATTTGCATCAGATGAGCTGATTGTGCCATAAAAAATTGCTGGTTTAAGCAGAGGAGACCCATCCCAAAACAAATAGTGGGAGGAAAAAAACGGTGTGATCACCTCTGTTACCAGCAAATCCCAGCAGCCATCACCTTCTTCCTCCAGCTGGACGACATCCAGTGTGTGCCACAGGCGTCAAATGATGCAGCACAGCCAGTGAGTCTGCTCTTTGTGTGTTTGTGTGTGT